ACGACGTCTTAAGTACGACCGCTTCCGGATCTGCATCGTGCATCGAGGACGACAATGCGTAATTTTTCTCTTACGTACTTACGCACGAAGATCACTCGCGCGATAACACGCCGGCGCGAGCGACTTTTATATATTCCGAGTTTCGCCCAACTGCATAAATTATGAATCACGATTTAAATGTAGACGCGAAAATCCCTCACAACATCAATACATCAATTATTATCGGCGCGCTCGTCCCAACGGGGAAAACAAATGAATAAATGAGCGAATTAATTCACGTTCGAAAAAGCCATATGTCAGGATATGTTAACAAAATCATTACTTAAAGAGACATCGAACAGTTGACTGAATCTTGAATGACTTTTTTACCTTTTTCTATTTCTCTCTTCCTAGAATTGTAAATAAATTATTATCACCGATTGGAAACTGGACGGTCACAGTGATGAGCGAAAATTTAACATATCCAAATCAAAATTCAAATATGCGTGCACTTCGTTTTGACCTCTTCAGGAATGAATTCATTAAAATCAAAAGAAAGTAATTCAATTTTTAAAATGACACAAAAGTGGGACATCTGTCAATCATATGGCGCGATTTCTTATTTCCTCGTGGAATTTTGTGATGAATGTTTATTCTCAACACAATGCCGTACTAACTGTTCTAGATATCGTTACTGCTGCAACTCCAATAACTCAGCAATCATTCCTGAGGCAGCATAATCAACTGTTCCGCATCTTACTACTAAATCTAACTGACACAACTAAATTTATGTGTGAGCCAATTATACTATTTTTTTTCCGTGTACATATACATACATGTGCCAAGGTGAGGTGACTGGACATCGACCATCGAGGAGCGCGCGGCCTTCCGAATTTTCTTTCGCGCGGTCGCGCTCACGCATGCCATCACGCGCGACGCCCCACTATGGTCAGTGACATTTATGAGGGACAAGATAATACGTCTTCGTCCATCTTCGCGATTGCACGTTACTGTCCAGCCCGGTATCTGGCGGTATCTATACAGCGATGACGAGGGAGGGGGAGAGAGGGACGATGTTTCATACCTGGCCTGACCCCGAAGTACCGTGGGCATACGTGGCTTGTCTGCGAATTTTGTAGCGCTAGTCTCGCGAACGCGGTCTCGCGGCATTGGCGAGGCTCTCTCGCTGCGGGCGCACCACGGAGCCGCCGGCGTGATGCGCCTAGAGAAAAAGAGGAAATGCCCAGTGTGGTCTCTCTCGCAGGGGCCGGGTATTAGTTTCCCTTTGCGGGAAGAGAGGTCGAGGGAACGAGGAGGACGAACTGCCGGGTGGGGCGTCGACGCCGCCGCAGTCGTCGTCGTCGTCGTCGACTGATTTCAGGTTCAGGCCAGCGGCCAAGAGGCGAGTTCAGGAACGGTGCTAGGTGGTGGGATTGGGATTGGTAACCGGCTTTCTAGCCGCGCGGTCGGCCTAGCCGAGCGCTCGCGCGCGCAAACGCTCGCTTATGTGCGTGTTTTCTGCCCGCCTGTTTGCCTGCCTACCTCCTCCGACTACTCTCCAACGATACCGGCGTACTACGCTCGCCGCAGGCCGGGAACCCTCTCTCAGTGTACGCGCAATGCTGTACCCTCCTAGGGAACAAGAAAGAAAGAGAGAGAGAGAGAGAGAGGGGAGGAGAGAGCGTTACGAACACACGCATGCACTTTTTTCTTCCCGTGGGCCGCGTGTAGTACTGCACGCGTGTGCGTGTGAGAACCGAAGTGCAGCAACCTCCGGGGCCAAGTGGAAACGCCGAGAGAGAGAGAGAGAGAGAGAGAGAGAGAGAGAGAGAGAGAGAGAGAAGCAGGAGAGGCACACAGAGAAAGGAGGAAAGAAGAAACGCACGATGCAGCACCGCTAGCACGCCTCCTGGACGAGGGTCCAATTTCCTGGGTCGTCCGCTCGCGCATTCAGTTATACTGGTTCTACCGGAATCCTTGTAGAAAGATGCGTCGTGATCGCGGTCTGAAGAACGTCGGTGGAATCGGGATCTCTAGCCGTGCGCGCTCGAGATTGCCGCCGCGCCCCGGATAGACTTCCCGTGTCTTCTTGCGGGAGAAGTTGAAGACGCCCGGCGGAAAGTTGCACTGCGACGATGCAAATGTTCCAAGACGTTGCCTGTTCGTTCGTTCATTCGCTCTTCGCTCGTTCGCCTCGGCGAAGTGGCGTCTCGGGAACTACGAGCTCGGAAGAATTCGATTCCAGGTTGCAGATTACTTCGCGCGCGGCTAAGCGAGCTGAAGAGTGAGATGAGGAAAGGTAGATAGATAGAGAAAGAGAGAGAGAGAGAGAGAAGTAGATGTAAGATCGCGAGCTCGGTTTCTTGATGAGCTACGTCATCGTGCAAACAAACGCGCCTCACGATCCATCGCATCCGTCTGTCCGTTCCGAAAGACTTTTGCACCGCGTCATCCTCTTACTCCCCCCTCTTTTTCTCTCTCTTCCTCGTCTAAATTCATTTCACTCGTAATGAGCGCAACTCAACATTCATACCACAACATTCGTAATGAGCGTGGTAAAGAATTCTGGTCATTGAAAATGGAAAATAAGTTATTCTTCCGGTCGCATATTCTATCGGGGGGTATAACTGGATTTTCCCTTTCAACGCTATACATCTTTCTCACGTGTTATTCGGGATACCTTCTCAAGAAACGGGTCATGAGTGAAGGACCGTTTGGCGGTGCTGCGAATCGGGAAGGTAATTCGAGCAGCGTATAATAAAATTAAGATGCGAGTCCTGTGTGCTCGCTTTCTACGGACGTCACACACGGCGACATTTTGATGTTATCGATCGCGTGTGACCGTACGCGAAACGGCAGCGCGCGCGCGAGGCCTGCCCCTTCTTTCAGTCGGGGACCGAAGAGGACGAGAGCCCCGGGTGGAAGAGGTCCGCAAGGTTCCCGTACCGTCGCCTCTTTACAATCGCCTCGCGGCACTCCCTGACGGCGATCTGCTCCTCCTCTCTACGTTGTGCCTCTCTCGCGATGCCGCCGCCGTCGCCGCGACTTGTCCCCGTCGACATCCTCGTAGAAGCACCTTTACCGTACGTTCTCTTCTGGGGATCGTGACGGTAGAGGAGCGCATCGCCTTTTAACACCTCGCGCGCACGCCATCAAGCTTATTATGGGTTTCGAGAACGGGTAGCCGTTATTATGGTAGAGAAAGAGAGAAGAGGAACAGGGTCTACGCGGACGACCAGCCGAACAACGCTCCAATCTCCTCGCCACTGGCGCGATTGACATGCTAAACTTTGCTATGCCCTCCGAGGAGAGAGCGAGAGACAAAAGGAGGAAGAGAGAGGGAGAGGGGGGAGAGTGAGAGGTTCTCGCCTCGCGGATTTCTCTTTCTCTGCATTTCTCCAGTTCGAAAATTTCAGCCACCAGCGAGAAACGCCGAGTCGGGTTTAAATGTCATTTCTCCGAGTCTCTTGCGAGGATTTCGAGAACGGTAAAATTAATTCTGAGTGCTGTGCATAGTGTGACTCGAGTAACGGAATATCGCACGGGCGTGGGTTAAAGAGAGCGAGAGAGTGAGAAAGAGAGAGAAAGAGGAAGCGGGGGAGAGAGCCGAGACAGACACGGAGTGGAGCGCGAGGAATCAAGGTTAGAAAATTCTATAAAAACAGGCGTGGACGTTGTTGTATCGACGTCGCCGCATTCATACCGTGGAACGGAGAAGCGGCGCATGCTCGCCTCGCTAAATCACCCGACGAAGAGAGAGCGCGCGCGAACTTAATTAATTGACGCTCCGCGCGCGATTCCCTGGCGATCCGTCAGAACTTCATATTTATCTTCGCCTCGGCACGATGTAATCGACTTTATTTATCGGACGTCCAACTCGCGTCGAGTCGTCATCGATGGCCGAAGTATCGCGAAAAGTCCGACGGGTCTTTCGTCGCCGGTAACCGCCGGCTCGCTCTGGGCAACCGAGTTTACGTTCAGTCGAAACTTCCAACTTCCGATATTAGTAATAGACGCGAGCATGAAGCTAGAAGAGGGTCTCGTTTGCGAAACGCTACCTCCGCCGGTCGATCATCCCTAATCAGCGTCGTCACGCGAGCGCCGGACGACGACAACGACGACGACGACGATGTCGACGGCGATGGTGATGAAGATGTACACAGCGCGTTTATCGATATTATATTCGCGGTATAAATACCACCTACATGCCTCTCTTTCTCTCTCTCTCCCTCTCCCCCCCCCCCCCCCCCCC